GGGGAGGCATGAGGAGTGGAAGGGCTGAGAAAGTGGGGAATCTACTGTTTGTGGTTCGTGGCAACGGTTGGATGCACGATAGAAAAACTTGTGAGCATTGGAGAGTCGTCTTCAAAACATTCATTCACTCAAGCCAAATTGAGCAAGCTGCTCACTCCCTGTTCTAGCGCTGAGTACGCTGGTGGACGGTGGATATCATCTTTGTCCTGTGAAACTTCCAGCTAACGGGAAAGGTGGTGGAGATGCGCCTGTCATTGGACTAGCATGGGAGGAGCTGGGAGAGATGTACTGAGACCTGGAAGAAGTGTGAGGAGCTGTGGTCTAGAGGAAGAGCCTGCAGAGAGCACAGTCCAACGTGGGAGAGACCTCGGTGGGATGGGCTGGCAGGGGGCTCAGCCTGAAAACAACCTGAGGCCACTGTCGGTGTCTCGGGTGTGAACTGCCGGTGAGAGAAGGTGGTGGAAGATGGGAGAACGCAGAACGAGAAGGTTCTAGAAACACAGATTCTGGGCTTCTGTTTGGATTTGGAAGTAATAGGCCTTCACGATAGCTTGCCTGTGAGAAACAGAGGGGAGGAAAAGTCAAGGATGATTTGTGATTTCAGACTTTTAAGAGGGTGGACGATTGTGCTTATTAAGACCCAGGGAGAAACAGTGGATTGGGGAGTCAAAACATGGGAGAAGGTGTGACTGGTGCACACAGGGTCTAGAACTTAGGTGAAGACCTAAAGATAAGAGACGTGAAACTGAATCCTCTTGTTCCAAGGTTTGCCAAATGCTGACTTCATCAGTGCCAGGAAGCGCAGGTGTAAACACTGCAGCTCAGATGGAGAGGTATCCTGGCAGCCGGGAGCCCAGGAATACCAGAGTCACTGTAAGTGGCGCAGCTTCCAGTCCTGCTCCGGGAAAGGCACGTCAAGGCAAATGTAACAACCCTGCTCTGGCCGGGGAGTGTTTGCCCAGCGAAGCGGTTCCAGCTCTGCTCAGGGCCCCTCGGGTGGAACAGCTCTTCCCCAGCGAAAGTGTTACAGTTCTGCTCCGCTCTTTGGCTCCTGTGAAAGTTATTACATCTGGGCTCTGCTCCGGCAAAAATGTCAAACCACACTGCACAACAAACCTCACTCAAGAGATTTATTGGGAAGGAAGAATCCAGGAGAGCGGCTGCCTCAGGGGTGAGAAGCAGCGGCAAATTGAACAGGGTGGAGATGATACAGGATTGAGGGGGTGGAGCTCACCAGGGTCACCCGGGATTGGTGGATGTTTCTGGTCTGATTCTGGGCTGAGCTCAAGGATTGGTGGTGGGACTTCATACTCAGGGATTGGTGGAATTTTGTGCTCAGGGACCTCAGGGATTGGTGGGATTCTGTGCTCAGGGATTGGTGGGATTCTGCAGCCTGACTCTGGGGCAAGCTCAGGGATTAGTGGGATTTTAGGCCCTGGTTCTGGGTCAGATCAGGGGGTCCTTAGCCCAGGTCTTAGGTCTACTCCGGGGCACAGTGTTTTTTCCTTGGCCCTTTTCACTCTACAGTATGGGTGGACACTGACATCCTACTTACTCAGGAGAGTTGCTGAGACCCCTGGATGCTGGGGCTGGATCCTGGGGTCAGAGGCCATTTCAGGTGGAAGCTCATCTCCTCTTGTCCTTGGTCATTTAATGGGAATGGCTGAGCTGGTAGCCTTATTCTGGAAAATGTGCATTGGTACTGATTTTCTACAACAAAACCTTTGGTGCCAGACTATAAATTTCAGAAAGATGGTTTGATTATGACTGGTAATTGATAAATTTGTCCGTCTGTGTGGGAACATTTGAGTTGTTTCTTATCTTTTCTTTGATGAGTCTGATTGTGCTATTAAAACCATGCTCCGGCCCCAGAGTAATCTTTCTTGTCATAATGAATGTGTCTGATACCTTAAAGGTTGCAGGGTTGTGCATATATGTGTTTTCTTAAAGTGTGCCTTCCTATGATATTAAGGTGAGTGAGTATTCCTTTGTTGAGCCTTAGGGGGTTGGGAGTAGTTAAGGTCATTGAAAAAATACATGTCAAAACTTAGATTTCCCAATTTGGGAAAATAAGAAAGCCAACTCTGTTAACAGATTCCGCTTGCTGCATCAGGAGACACGCCAGGACAGCCCAGGTGACCGCTGCCCACTCCACTGCTGTTTACTGAGTACCTATCATGTGCATTTCTGATGGTTGGACTTTTCCAAAGTCACTTGACCTATCTGGTGGCTTCCCCTTTTCTTTAATGCGTCCGCATGCTCTACCCTGCCTCCTGAATTAGAGTGCAGGACGTTGATAAACAGTGGTGCTTCTGTATCCCCTAGTACATAGCACCACCTTGATCACAGGTATAGGCTTAAATCGTAGGACAAGAGATGTGGGTGAGTACGGCAACCCAAATGACATAAAACACAAAGGAAAAGCCAGGCTGTGGTGGCACCCACCTTTAATCCCAGCACTTGGGAGGCAGAGGCAGATGGATCACTGAGTTTGAGGCCAGCCTGGTCGGCAGAGCAAGTTCCAGGACAGCCAGGGCT